TGTTTTCAAATCCCATACTAAACAGAATTCCATCACGACTTTGATGAAATTGAAACAAAAAAGGTGATGGTGTGATACCAACTTCTTCGAGAAGAAGTTTCTCACAGCGGAATCATAAACTTCATAGAAACAAATAAATTAATGGCATATAGTTCATGGATTAATTGATCAAAAGAGCTAGCACCAAACTCTAATAAGATTGTTCATTCCACTAATAGAGTTAATTGAAAGGATAACCACAAAACTTCCCCAGCTTGGACGACATCAACTTTGAAGGAATATCATTATTTTTTGCAAAGCTAAAAGGGATAGAGCATGAAGTCTAGCTGATACTACAGTAGTAAATTTCATGACAGGAAAGGAGCTAAAATAGAATTGTCCATTCGTCATCATAATGCTCCTAATATCATAACTAATGGGTAAGAGAAGAAGATAAGGAAAATAGTGTACTAATAAATATTAAGAGATGAAAACTTCTGCTAGAACCCTACAAACTTAAATTCTGATGGTTTTATAATTTTCCAAAAAAAGGACATCTAATGAAGGTATTCTTATCATTAATTAACTCAAATTGCATTCTAATAACACTCCAATAAATAACATAAATAATTCAAAAATACAAATATTATTATATAAAAAACCTTAAACCTAGACATGAGAGGATTTCAGATTCAGATTTAAGATTGTCAAAATAAGACTAATATGAACTCATCCTGCATCATCCACCTTACCCATTGCTTAAATTGAGTGCTCTATTACTAATGGAAGGATCTCAGCCTAAATCATGCACATACACATTTGCCACACCAAGGGTAATAATATAACCTTTTGAAGACCATAATATATGAACTACCAAGACTATTTCCTACCAAACTGGAATCAGCAACAAAACCCAACTCAAACTCAAGAAGTCCACCTCTGTAAAAGCCACTGACCTAATATTAAAAAGCAAGGCACCTAAAATTTATGTAAAACATCTATCATAATGGTTGCAGCTATGCTCTTATGAACCAAAAAATTTTCTGGCAATTCCTCTCAGGAAGGAAGAATCAGAGCTAAGGTGGCAAATGACAAGTTTTAGTACAAGGAGAAATTGATTACACAGTAGAAACAAATCGATAAACAACAGGATACATTTGAAACCTGAGGGATGCAATGGATCTGAGGGCAATGTCCTGAGTTTTAGTACAAGAAAAGGTAATTATGTGATACACACAAACCAATAAGGAAATATTTATAAAAAAATTAGAAGTCTATTAATGCTTCAAATATATTGTTGAAGTGGTTTGAATCACAAAAACATTAACAACCTTAAATGGTTCAAGCTTGAGCCATGGAATAATGAGCCATGCCATCTACCTTCAGCAATGCAAAAGGTCATGCCATCTCATTTTGTGAGAGACAGGAACAAAATGAAAAAAAAAATGTTTTAACTTTTTTTTCTACTGTAATAATCCTAAGTCAGCTCCAAAATGCAAATAGGCCAGAAGATTGATTTAACTTTTCCACTGGCAGCAACCTCACAAACTGGACCCCGGTGCATGATCTTTGCTTCAGGTGCCAAAGAGCAACATGATATCTCCAAAAAAAAAAGAAACAGTAGCAAAAAATACTAATAGTCTATTTAACATGCATACCGGCTCCTCCAACAATGGCAGAATATCTCGAGCAGTACCGACATAGGACAGTATAGCAGCAAGTACATCAGGAACATGGGGATTGATATCCAAATGCCGCAACTGGTAACATAAAGTGTCAATAATATAGTCTGCATTTGCCACAACCAAGTGCCCTACCTGTTCCAAATAATGTAGCATCAGTACATAAAACAAAGAGCTGGTGCTTTTACAGTTTCTCTTTTTTTTGCACTCACGGTGGCATGGCCGGACAAAACAGAAAGAACACGTAGGACAGCATCTGATGCGATTCTTATCTCACTGTTAGAGCAAATCAAGTTCCTTAGTAATAAATAAAGAGAAGAGTGCAAAAATCCACTGCTTATAAAATCTTTTCCAAGAACTATGCTGAAAATGCCTATTCCATCTAAGATCACCTGAACCAATGAACCATAAAAAATAATCAATATCAAGGTTAGGAGAACATTCAAGAAACTGAGTCAAGAACTTAATTGGTGAAAATACATTTCCTGTTGCAGCATTATGGTGTCTAGGAAGAAATGTAATGGAAGATCTAATTCTATTTCATGTTCCAGCAGAGGTGCATTCTGATCCAATGGAATGTCCCACACTTCAGGTGACAAATATTCATGCAAAATGCTGCCAATGGAAAGAATTGTAGCATCCCTATTATCCTTTCCCTCTCTCGTATTCCAAGCTGATCCTTGGCATTTGAAAGTTGTAGACTTGTCATCATCATATGCAAGTTTCTTTTCTTGCAAGGTTTCTTCCCTAGACTTTTTAAAGAATGTTGAATATGTATTAACTGACTGTTCTGATAATCCGTATATTATCTCATTTAACACGCAAACTGCAGAACTTGTCTTGCGCAATAACTGGCCAGAACCATGATGAAAATACCAAGTTTTCCACCGTTCTTTGCCATATTCTTTCATACGAAGCTCTGATATCAACTGGCGAAACTGATCTAGCAAATTATCAACAAGAACTGATAAAAACATATTGCTCTTTTGTCCTAAGGATAAGACAAAAAAATAATAATTAAAAACAAAACTTCTATCAGGAAGAAAAAGTTCTTAACTTAATACAACAAATCATCATAAAACTAATGAACAAAGACTGAAAACCTAACTATTACCTGATATTATGGACAGCCCGACAAGTCTAAGTACTCCAGCAAGAGTTAGGTATAGTTTCTGACTGCCAGCAATACCAAACCAAGGAGGCATGTGAGGAAACTCCAAAACACTACTTACATATTCTGAAGGACTTTGCAAATCCTCATCTTGCAAAATAGAAATTTTGGAAACAACAGGAAAAGTGGCATCCTTGGTAAGATTTCTTGGAGAACTCAAGATATTGCCAGTTTTCAGCTCAGCAATGGAAAGCAAGTATCCAGTTGAAAGCGGTTTTGACAAAATTAGGTTATTCATGGAACCAGCAAACCGTGAATTATGACTGAAGCATAATCCAAAACACTCCAAAAAACATGATGCATTGACCTGCCAATACCAATAAGTTCAAATCCCAGAAACCAATTTGCAATCCTATAAAAAGTATAAATGTGGCAAATAAAGTAACATATATGATCAGGGAAGAATAAAGTAGAAATCAGCTACTCTCTGTAAGATAAGAAAAGAAACCAACAAGTAGCTAAAATAAGTTCATTATATGACAGAAACCCATAAATCACAGAAAATAAGGCTTTGAAAAGTGAGTCAAATCAGATTAAATCATTTGGAAGAAATAAAAAATTAACTAAAAACATGTTCACTAAATGACAAAAGCTAGTAAATCACAAAATTAAGGCTTTAAAAAAATACATAAATTGGATAAATCCAATTTGGAAATGTAAAATATC